TCAAATTACAAGCGATTTAAGGGCAAATTTTGACAAAATAGTTTGCGTTATATCTTTTTAACTGAATAGAGTATCGTGTTCGTTTTTTCGTAAGGTTGTATGTAGACTATGCCGTGAGAAACATTTCGTGTTCCGGACGCAAAACCGCTTGACCTTTACTTCCGGTTTTACCGGAAGTGCAATAAAAACTGAATATAACTCAAACGCAGAAGCATTTTACTACGGACATATATATTATGAAAGTGTTAAGTGAGGAATGCAAGACGCAAAAACAGTGTGATGACGTCATCATCCAAAAGGGCGCCCCCTATCGGCACATAAAATAGAGTTTCCCTTCTTTAATTGTAAAACCATCCGTCCAAATTTTACCAAATCGCCCCCGTGACATTCTCTGATTAACCACAGATAACTTGGCAAGGTTTCAAATTCATGACGTTATCAGACCGGAAGTTACTTTAAGGAGAATTTGAAAAAGATCATAGTTTTAATTTAATTCTATCATTTGATCCCTGTCATATCTTCGAAGTCCAAATAATGATTTCCATTACAATGTTCACCTTTGGATCTCTAATGCTGTGACGTCATCAAACCGGAAGTTAGGTGTTATCAATACGTCATTAAACCGGAAGTTAGGTGTTATTAATACAAACAATTATATTTCCCATATTTTCATACATTATTTTAACAATGAAAAATTATCCTCTCCAAACTTTATCAGTATTCACTAACCATTTTTGACTGATGACGTCATCAAACCAGAAATAACTTTTCGTGCACATAGAATGTTTACTGAAATTTATCACACCATTAAAGATACCTTTTTGAAACATTGATTGTACTTGAATGGATTTAATTTCGTGATCCTTTTTTTCTACATAAACATATATTCCTAACTTGACTGGGCAGTGTATAATGAAAAGGCTGTCCGCCCGACCACTCTGCGTTTGTAACTCAACAAACGCGAAACTCTAGTTTAGTTTTAAAATTCTGCGCAGAACTCATGACCAAGTGTTTGGGGTTCTTCCAAAGCACAACCCCCACCCCTACCGTACGGGCCTGAACAATTAAACTATTTGTGCAGAATCTCTTACAGTATTCAGTTTCTTTATTATCTTTTTCCTGATATTTTATCTCATGCATCATCACAGTAACATGGGTGATCATGAGATCGAAGCGTTTGTCCTTCTGTAGGCTTACCTTACGCACATACATAGTTGCTTAAGAGTACGGTAAGGCATAGGTCCCGGTCCCCAGCCGAGAGGCATCGGGACCCGTCATCAGTGGCTTGTTTCTGAAAAAAAAGGAAAGAAAAGGGAATATGGAAATAGGAAGTAATGCTACTGAAAAGCCATGAAATTCAACTTTTCTTATTTTAAAGGATTATAATCGCATTCTTTATACCACCATTGTGTCATTTGGGGGACTGGATTTTGAACTGATTTCCTCTCCGTTTCTCACTGGGTAGCTCCTTCACGCATTGTGAGCAGACCCAGCATCATTTAAACAGTGTATCCTACTTCAGGTACGACCGACCCAATAACAGGGCGGTCTTTGAATTGGGTAAAAAATGTTTATACAAAAGACATTTTGTCTCTATCATACTTCAAATAGGCTATTACAATAGCAATAGGCCTATGTTCAGTTCAAATTAGGAAATTGAAGTCCCATTTGTGTCCTTTGCAATTTCCTGTACAGATATCGAAGATGCACATCCTCCTCTCACCAAAAGGCATGTGCGTTGTTCTACTACATGTAGTTGGAGTATATAATTGTGGAGACGTGTGTCACTTAAAAAACATGTAACGAAAATCAGAAGAATTACATTTTCCACCCCATGAGTCATGAAGTGCTTGAATATGTACTTACAAATCATACATGTATATTCAAACTTGAAGGTCTGTGAATATGCAACAAATACGTAGTTCGATTTTAATAAAGCAATCGTTATCTTACTGCAAATACGCCCTGCATATCCTGGAGTATTCCTGCTTGGATCTGTCCAATGGCAGTGCTCGGTGTGATGCTCGACTGGTTGTCTTCGGGGAGCAATAATCACCTCTCTCGGGAGTCACGACAACAAGTGTAGGTTTTCGAACTTTAGGTTGCCCTACATGCGTATTTATGGCAGGTTCTTCAAAATATAGAGCATTTAACAACCTGACATTGCATTTTTCAAAAATTAATTTCAGATGTTTCAAAACAACCGACATCATGACATACATCTTGAAGTTCATAAAAATGCACATGTAGGGATAGTTTAGGCAGAAGTTCGCTTTTTATTATCGTTTTGGTAAGTATAGTAATTACCAGTTAAAATCAAGGCAGTTTGTATCTTTATGTAAAAGTTGTCAAGGTAAGGGCTTAGAGACAAAAATGTTTTTTTTTTAATCACGTGCCCATAAGTAGACTTTCATATAAAATTAATGAAATCACACAAAACAAGACCCATGCAAAAATTCAGTTCGACAAAGAAACACATAATTTTGACAGAAAATCAAGACAAATACTGCCTTGTTTTCATTTAATATTGGCACAATACGAAAACGATTCACCTTACATGTTTATCGGCCAACGTACATTGCATTTGTGTAAAAGAATCCATTTAGCATGCTCTATTAAAAAGATTCATATTCTGAAACATCGTAGTTATGAACGTCAGAATTGACGGAATTTTGACGACGTTCGATAATTTGGACGGACTTTGAATGACGTTCGAGAATCGTTTTCATTTTGACGCACAGTCGGCTTGACAAAAGGATGTTACATATTCCGAACGATGTTAATTGCAGAAAACAGAATAATGAACGTCACGAAGTACAATTCAAGAGTTCATACAGTCAGGTTTTACGACAGTTCCACCTGCACCCCACAGAAATTGATAATGACACGCACACCCCAACCCAGAATTGGTCCCGGGCATCGAATACTGTAGATTTTTGTTATCGACTGGTACCCTGTAAGTCACGTGCTTTTTGCATAGTTTTTGTGAAGAAGAAAAATTGACGATCGGAGGATCAACGGCTGAACTAACCACATAAGTTTTTAGTTGACGGAATTAGCATGACGTTCGAGAATTGCTGTCACGTCGTTCTTTGCGGGTGAACAATTAGTTTTAGGCGCAAAGTGATCATATTAAATTGTGTAGTCAGCTCACTCAGCTGTATTAACGGAGGTAAAAAGTTTGGAAAACTCGGGAAGAAAAATCTCTATCTGCAATCCTGTGCACTCGTCTCTAAATATTAGCAAGCGCGGCTCGCAAACGTCAAGCTATTTCTATCAAGCAACTTTGACGACAACGCATTACCCGTGAGATGGTTGGAACCTGGTGGGAAACGTCCAGTGGATTTGATTGGGGTGTATAAGGGTAATTATGCAATTAAAAGGGTTGTTGATACTTCACGCAAACGCATACGAATGCGAGCTAACCGTGAAGACGTCATAATGGAAACTTGCGCAAATGAAACGTAATTCAAACACGAGCAAATCCGTCATTCGCCGCGATTCAATCTGCCGTAAAACTTCACTGGCTGGCTGGGCATTCCCGTTTGCGTGAAGTATGGACATAACATATCGTGAAATAATACATCATGTTTTGCAGTGGGAAGCGGGTCAGGTCATCACACTAATTCTGCAGGTTGGCGAACTGGCAGCAGTGGTGGGTCACATTGTACGGCATCTTCACGAACTAAGCAAGAATAATTTTATCAATATCAAATCCACTAAATTTGGAATTATTTATCAAATGCAGAAATTGCGTGATATTTTCCTATGCTTCAACACCCCTACCATGGTGGAGATTTTCGCAAATGAAAAGAATACTTGCAGATTACCTAGTCACCTGCCATGTTCTTCAAAAATACAAAGCAAATCGAGTAAAGAAATTGTTAAGATTTGCGAAAATGTAAATTTGAACACATTTCAACTTTAGAAAGTCATCCAACAAGCAATTAAATTACCGCAAAGTTCACTTGGCACTCACGTTTGCATGAAGTATGAACAAGACTTATCATGATAATTGAAATGCTTGAAAGGGAGCAGACCATCACAATAATTCTGCTGTTTGAAGTAACAGCAACAATAATTAAACAACAATAATCAACAATAATTTTAATAGCAACAAACTGCAAAGTCCGGTTTGTACTTCATGCGATCACGTAACCATGGACATTGGAGGCGACAATTTCGCTTCCGTTCACGTTCACAATGAACCGGATTTTAAGAATATTGCGCAACATTCAAACATTTAACAATTGAAGTAACAATTTATCGAAGTGTCAATTTATAAATTCACTTAATATTCACTGAATAACGGCATTTCGTTTTATATGGCCTAAGCATATACCACTACAACTAAGGGGCTTTCTATGTCACTGTTATTGAACACGCTAGATTCATTTGACTGTTTATCGATGCTCGACCAAACTCACAGTTGATTTGAAACATTAAACGTATTAATACAACGATTGCGATCCTCTGATGTAAGGGTCATCTCGATAAATATAATGCGCTTAAAAGTATTGTCATACATGTTTGTGTATTTTTGAAATGCTTACTATGGCCTACCTTCGCTAAGTACCAGTCAGATGTACCTCGCTTCCCGTGTAATTTAACTGCAACAAAGTGACCACAATGTATGGCATTCGGTCGAATGGAGGCTGGATCTGATGTAAACAATAACAAGGTAAGTCGCCTGATTAAAATTTAAAAGAGGAATACAAAAACATTGCAGGAGGGACTCAAAACGAAGGCAAGTATTACCCGAAGGCGGGGGTACAGGAGAGGCACTCCGAGAAGACTGGCGAATTGGAGCCGATTGCGGTTCATTTACACTCTCCGGCTCTGATCCTACGGACGCGTCATTTAGCTCAGTCGCTGCTTTCGACACTCCTGTAACAACATTATTAATAAACTGAAATTAATAAAGAAGAGAAGTACAAGGGTAATAAAGAAAAGAAATATGTCACGGGGAAAACATGTTTAAAGTAATAAAAAATAAAAGCTCACTCACCTTTTCTGTTCCTCGCGTGTACATTTCTGATTGCTTTAAGGCTCAACTGCTTTATCTCGAGCTTGCCTCCAGTGTAAGTCGCGTTCGTACACATTTCGTTGTTGTTGAGAAGGCACGGGAAGCAAAAGCAGGACACTCGGCGCACCTTGAGCTTATAGGGGGCAGCAACCTGAATCTGATGGTATCCACGAGATCCCTTGAGTGTGGTGACTTCGGTTTCGGGTCTCTCTCTGCTAATTTCATCCTTTGCCACGTACACAAAGGACCGTTTTGAATACATCGAATCACTGGCCAAATTTGCACAACACCACCCCCACATATCCTTAGCTGAATTAATCACAACTTTGTGCCCCAAAATAGCTTGATCAACTGCTCGATTTACCACCCCAATTTCTCCATCGCCCTCTCCCTTTCCATGTTCGGATCCAAAGTAGTTGCGTTCTCTGGCATCTGACGACAAGCTTAGATCGGCAAAAGTACCTTTCCCTTTATTTTGACTTTGGCACCCGTCACTCCATAGCACTTCTTTGTCTACTTGTTGCATGTTGCTTGCGAGGTGTTGCGAGGCAATGTTCAGGTAGTGTTCAACTGCGTGATATCGTCTGAGAGAAAGATCATAGGGGTGCAGACCAGTAAATCAGTCCGAAATTGCCTGCGCCGGCCAAATCACGATTTGCATGCCCTCAAAATCTTCGGTATTTGAGCATGCTGTGGGCCATGAACTTGAGGGTTTGTAAAAAATATGGGTGGAAACCGTGCACAGGACTGGGAGCTTGCAGTTCTGCGTAATTTTGATGTAATTTGGACCCTAAAAGCGCTCTATTTTGCAATGGAGTGTAGGCATCGTTTTTCAAAATGGCGATGGGCTTCAGGACTATTTTCAGGGGTGATCATCTTCAGATGGAAATTTCTCCTACAAGTCATCAGTTGACCCCCCGAAAATTGAAAAGAAAATAAAAGATGATGAAATAAGCTTTAATTTGATGTGTGTCTCGAACACCTTGGAGAATCGTGAGTATTTTTCCCGAATTTTTGAAGTGGGAGCATTTACCATTGGGGTCTATGGAAGTTTATTTACTGGTCTGCTACCTATAGTTTCAAAATGGCGCCTTCCATCGCTTGTTGTCAAATGTTTGCGGAGTGTTTTTTTTTCAAGGGGGCGGAACCGGGGGGGGGACAGCGTTTCAAAAGGGGTCACCAATGGCGGTTCAGCAACAAATGCGCCCAAAATCTGAAGAGGGCCGATGGACCGTCCTTCGATCACAGCAATTTCGAGCGAACAAGGAGGGGTGGGGGGTAATTTGGGGTTGGAAGGAACAAAAACTCAATTAACGCCCGTTGGGGGCGCCCTACAGTAAGGTAGCCGCAAACAGAGGGCTTGTTTTCAGGCCAGAAATCGCAGTCAGAGATTTTTTTTCCTCGCAATTTTTTGATGAAATATGAGTCATCCATCCTTCCTCGTGCCGTACAAGTGGTTTGGGGAAATTTTTCCAAACCTCGCTTCCTAATAGGGTGCAGACCAGTAAATCGGTCCGAAATTGCCTGCGCCGGCCAAATCACGATTTGCATGCCCTCAAAATCTTCGGTATTTGAGCATGCTGTGGGCCATGAACTTGAGGGTTTGTAAAAAATATGGGTGGAAACCGTGCACAGGACTGGGAGCTTGCAGTTCTGCGTAATTTTGATGTAATTTGGACCCTAAAAGCGCTCTATTTTGCAATGGAGTGTAGGCATCGTTTTTCAAAATGGCGATGGGCTTCAGGACTATTTTCAGGGGTGATCATCTTCAGATGGAAATTTCTCCTACAAGTCATCAGTTGACCCCCCGAAAATTGAAAAGAAAATAAAAGATGATGAAATAAGCTTTAATTTGATGTGTGTCTCGAACACCTTGGAGAATTGTGAGTATTTTTCCCGAATTTTTGAAGTGGGAGCATTTGCCATTGGGGTCTATGGAAGTTTATTTACTGGTCTGCTACCTATAGTTTCAAAATGGCGCCTTCCATCGCTTGTTGTCAAATGTTTGCGGAGTGTTTTTTTTTCAAGGGGGCGGAACCGGGGGGGGGAGGGACAGCGTTTCAAAAGGGGTCACCAATGGCGGTTCAGCAACAAATGCGCCCAAAATCTGAAGAGGGCCGATGGACCGTCCTTCGATCACAGCAATTTCGAGCGAACAAGGAGGGGTGGGGGGTAATTTGGGGTTGGAAGGAACAAAAACTCAATTAACGCCCGTTGGGGGCGCCCTACAGTAAGGTAGCTGCAAACAGAGGGCTTGTTTTCAGGCCAGAAATCGCAGTCAGAGATTTTTTTTCCTCGCAATTTTTTGATGAAATATGAGTCATCCATCCTTCCTCGTGCCGTACAAGTGGTTTGGGGAAATTTTTCCAAACCTCGCTTCCTAATAGGGTGCAGACCAGTAAATCGGTCCGAAATTGCCTGCGCCGGCCAAATCACGATTTGCATGCCCTCAAAATCCTCGGTATTTGAGCATGCTGTGGGCCATGAACTTGAGGGTTTGTAAAAAATATGGGTGGAAACCGTGCACAGGACTGGGAGCTTGCAGTTCTGCGTAATTTTGATGTACTTTGGACCCTAAAAGCGCTCTATTTTGCAATGGAGTGTAGGCATCGTTTTTCAAAATGGCGATGTCCTATTTTCAGGGGTGATCATCTTCAGATGGAAATTTCTCCTAAAAGTCATCAGTTGACCCCCAAAAAATTGAAAATAAAATAAAAGATGATGACATAAGCTTTAATTTGATGTGTGTCTCGAACACCTTGGAGAGTTGTGAGTATTTTTCCCGAATTTTTGAAATGGGAGCATTTACCATTGGGGTCTATGGAAGTTTATTTACTGGTCTGCTACCATAGAGTCCCGAACGAGAGTGCCATTTTGGCGATAATACATAACGAATGGGTGCATCGTTATCTGCATCTGTCCGTAGTATGCAGCCTTGATATCATCCTGGTAGAATACCTTCCTGTTTTGCCCAAAGTCCATAACCATCATCGCCCAATTTTCAGGGAGGTGTTCTTTCAAGTTCGAGTACTGCCGGTGCTGCCATCTTGCCGTGACAATGTGCTTTACAAACGAAACACCTTGAACAGGCCTCTCAGCATCGTTTATTAGTTCCTCGAGAACGTTGCCCATCGACCCTTGCTTGGTTTTAAGCACACGGCGTGGTTTTCCTTCTATGACCTCCACTCTTTCACAATGGAGCCAATTCCACGTTCCCCTTGCTTCTTTGGTGACGGGCTCGTACATCTTTCGTATGGTGTCACCCAAATTGCCACATTTGTCACAAGTACCAAACACGCACTCCTCATTTTGAAATCTCTGAGAATCTGAAACCGGACACAACAACTTGTTGACAAACTCGTACTCATCAGCTATCTTCAGGACTCCTTGTTGACTTTGTTGTGTTGATGACTCTGTTAACAACCATCAGCTTGTACTTAATGTTCATGCAATAAACGCAAGTACACACTTCGTGGTGAACCTTTGACAGCAGACGAACATTCTTGGGTCGTAAGAAGGTGAACTTGGAGTAGCTCACTCTCGAGTCGGGATACTCTTTTTGAAACATTCGGTGGGCAGCTGTCTTCTTTTTTCGCGGTGATGAATTTTTGACTAGTCCGCAGACAACTGATGCAAATTTTTCAGGTGATTAGGGGAGAGCCTTTCGCGCCTTTGTTGTGTGATTTCTGAGAGTTTTGAGTGACTGGTAGCCTTGACGTTCAGTGTTCTGTTTCTGTTGCCGTTCTTGTTCTTTTCTCAGAAACTCTGCTCGTTTTTGTCTTTTCCGGTTTCTATCCTTTTCCTTGATTCTTCTTAGTTTTTGCGGCCTTTCTTTGAGCTTTCTCTCTCTGCTTGTTTTCTCTCTCGCCAGTAGGCTTGTTTTGCTGCTGTGGCCGCTCTTGTTTCTGTTGTTGGCGCTCTTGTTGGGGCTGGTGTTCTTTCCGTGTCACGTGGTTTCCTGAAATTTATTTTCACTTTAGGTGGATTCTTGTTTTGATAATTTTATTTCTTCTCCATTTACTTTTTTTTGCCTCGCTCGCCCTTGTTCGCGTTTTCGTTTTAGTTGTTCGAGCACAGCTTCAGACGGTTTTCGTTTCGCTAAATCTTCTTTAAATTTGTCCATACGTTGCTTGGCAGCCTTTGCTTGCGATTGAAGGTATTCCTCATATTTTGGGGGATTGTTATGTTTCAGTTTGTTTCGATAGTATGTTGCCTTGCTCATTTTTGAAGATGAGGGTAAGTATTACGGGTGGTTAGTAAGCAGATGATTTTGGATATGGGATTAGGATGGTGTTAGTGCAGTGCAGCTTTTGAATGAAGTGAGGCTGTGAAAGGTGGGGTGCAGCTGTGGTAGATGGAGATGGACCTAAAAAAAAAAGACGAGCGTGAACAATGAAAAAAACCCAAATATATAATAACAATTCATAATGAATGCGTGCAAATGAGACTTTTGTTAAAAGCGTTTTATTTTGGCATTATTTTCTAACTTTCAAACACCATGGCACACCCAATTAAAAGCTGTAAAATTCGTTTCGCCGTATATACAGACGCATTTTTGCCCGATTTCCGGACACTTTCCAATTACAACCTGGTACATAATTATATATTCAAGCTACAAAATTTAGTTGACAAAAATGTAAGTCAGTTTCAGATGCATCCATTGAGGAATATTCATAAACCTCTAGGCGTACCCAAATAATAATAATACAGTTCCGATAACGTACGCCTAAAACTGCACTTAAAACTCTGATTTTTTTAGATAAAGTTTGGGGTAAATTATTTCCCCTAAAACAAATGGTTTACGAAGTAAATGCCGTTCAAGAGCTGAAATGTATCTTGAAATTTGATCAAAATCCAATTTTTTTACTCTTAAAACAAACACACTAAACCTCTCCCTTGGTTTAAAGAAACCCAGAGATGGCATTTTGATTTTTTCCGTCAAAATGACGCTCGATATTACTATCCGTCAAAACGTGACTGACGTTCGCGTCATATTTTACAATTCTGTCAAAAAATGACGTACGCAAAACAATCCGTCAATATACTGACGTTTGTAACTTTCTTTACCTGATCGCGCGCGCGTATAACGTTTCCAAGTATGGCCGCTCACGCCGCGCCGTGTTTTTAAGCCCTATTTTTTTGTCTCCAGAGCATTCTGGAATTGTCTTGCCAGAGTTTATCTGTTCTCGATCGTCATGTTTATCGTACGTCAGATATTTGACAAATTTTATTCAAGCTGATCTATCGTAATATACGAAAGTTTGTGGAAGTTTGGAACTTACCGTGCGTGATGCATCAGCGATGTATGAAAAGGAAAGTCGCTTAGTATTATGGGTCGGGTCAAGGTTCATCACGTGCACGGCAGCTAAGTTTTATCGAACGTCAGCGTCTTGTTGACGGACAAATATATTTTCTCGCAACACGAATTTGAAGAATTGTTTGCGTGAAATGATAAGTAAGTAACATGGTTATTGAGATATCGAATAAATCTGTGTAATATAAGGTTTCTGACACAAAATAGCCAACTTCGTGTGATTCTTTATTTTGTCTCAAATTTCACGTGTTAAATTTTGTTGACAGTGTGACGGAATTCCATGACGTTCGCAACTGATTTAATTTATAACGATAATTCCGTAGAATATTAAACATTTCAAGTTTCTTTTTCGTTTGTAAACTATTAGAAGACATCGTCTGCTACATCGACATATTAAACAAAAAAACCTTTACCGTTAACACCATGATGATTGGAAAACAGTTAACTGATAAATTCCTTCCCTGGCCCGAGGGACTTAATTCCGTCAAAAATGCTGACGTTCAGGACTCGTTTTTGAAAGTTCCAGTTTAAGTGGAGGGACTTGAAGAACAACGTTTTAGTAAATATAAAATTAGGTGTCTTTCAGCACATTTCACAATACAAAACACTTCTACAACGTGCACTTTTGAAAATCGGAGTGTGTCAATTTCATTATTATTTATTGCACCACAATTCAAGGAACATGCCTTATATAAACAAAGAAGAACAACTATTCATTATAAGAGTTGTTGTTGTTTTTTTGTTGTTGTTTTTTTGCTTTTTTAAAACTCAGTACTGTTTTTTTTTTTTTTTTAGTAATTTATTTATTTCCATTAATTACAATATTGCAAATAATTATTACAATGTTACTTATTTCAATGTTTAGAAAGTATACATATAACAATCATAAATGATATACACGACATTGGTTTTGATGTATATAATGTATGTTAGAACCATAGGTTATAATATATCTGGTGTTATCACTATAAGAGATGTTAAACATTTATATATTTCCTTTCTGTGAATGCCTCCCCAATTATTATTGAACTACGTAAGACAACTTTCTAGGAATGCATTCACTTTGTAATCCACACGATTGTTTCCAATTTCATGCAACAGCTCAAATTGGAACAGACCCAATGATAACCTACTGTTCGGTACATATGCGAATAACAATGAAAATGTATATGTCAATGATTTTAGAAACTCCATCGCACAACATGTATACTTTCAAATTTCAGAAACAACAAGTTTCCTTCTTCCTTTTCCATTTTCACAGAAAACGTTTTATAATGTTAACCTGTTCGAGATTCTGAGATCTTCGGTGCTTTCGGAGACAAGTTATTATTCCGACTATGATGTGGAAGAGTTAACATCTTTCCAAGTGCCCCCGTAAGAAGGTCGATCAAACGTGGCGCTCCATGCGTGTCACTCATATGTAAGCCATAATAGCTCCATAGTTCTTCATGATGTTCAGGGAACTCTTCATTAACATCAATGAACTTGATCCCCTTCTGCTTGCACAGGATATGAAGCATGTTGTTGAATCTATTGATGCATGATCCAAACTCATCCAATCGTGGCAGAATGGATAACATGGCAATCTACAATAGGAAACATTAAAGAAACAGAGAGCACGCGCTTAATACATAATAAAAATATGTATAGATGTTAAAACAGTTAAGTCCATTGTACTAATTCACACAAAAACAAACAACATTTTGGAGAAGGTGGAATAATAGAAAACAATATTGGCGTTCATGTCCTCGGTCAACCCTTAGGATGACGTGCAACCAAATGTTGCTGACCATGGATTAATATATCGATGAAGGGTCTCTATACCAAACCAGTATAATAGGTTTCAAAGTCCTGCATACTTTGTCGACTTCCAATCAAATGTAGGCCTAACACTTGTCACACTGAATGCTTTTAGATGGACAAATCCTTTAAAGCAGTTACTTCTTACCAATTACATTTTCGGCCCGACAATAATTCAATCAGGAATTCTGTGCGGTGTTCACAGCACATGCACACCAATGCAGACACAAACCAACGTAAATTACTATTGCTTGAAAAGCCTGCACAAGCACATATATGCGCATTTATTAAAATCAAGAAGAAAATGGAACACGGTTAACAGAGACCAATTGAAGAGCATTGAATGAGTTAGGCATACTCTAGTATTACCTGACTGTTCCTGTAATTCTCCATCACATGGTCAAATAGAAGACCAAAGTCCCTCCGCGTAGAATCAAACGAACACCTCAAACTAGAAATGTTGTTTGTGCCAACACTAAAAACCAAAACATCAGGGTCGACCAATGCAGTTGCATGCCTCAGCTCCTAAAAGAATAATTTAGAAACACAAAAATGTATCACAATTAATAACACTTTGACAAATGAAACTAAAATCCCAACTATATTAATCACATAAGTGCCTTGCGTGGTTCAAGACATCGATGCATTCCCCATGGTTTATGCACCTTTCACACAAGAAGTTGTAGTTCGTATTGTGCTACTTTATTCAGCTTTTTAAATGAAACATTCACGACGAGTCCACCAACATTTTTACAGGATTCAAACTTTACAGAAAGTGTAATCTTCTGAAGACAATGAGTTCAAATTAAAGTCCCTTTTGAAAGGGTTAGTGATGCCCTGATTTGGTCCATAGTTTCACAAACTTCACAAATGGAACCTCATTTAAAGGTTAAGCTCTGTATGGGAAGCGATTAATCATTTCATCTTATTTCATCTACCTCGACAGATTTACGTTATTGTGCAACTTGCTTATACAATTGGCTTCAAAAATGTCCATAAACATGAGAGGGTGCAAACATCAGTGGAAATCTAAAAAGGAGTGAGCAAAATAGTTGGCGTTTTAAATACAACCCACATGAAACAAATGATATAAGCTTAATAATACCTTATGTACATGTTGTACAGTAGCTGT